GTTGGACGAATGCAAGCTGCAGACAGAGCTGCTTTGACAGCTTTAGCTGCAGAAACAGAAGCAGCTAGGCTTGCGGAGGAAGAACTACAAGCAGTCCCTCCTGGGCAGCTGCAGCCACCAAAGGCATCTGGGGAGCCAGCTCGGAGCTCCAAGCTTGAGGAGGCTGGTGTGCAGTGCAAAGTACCTGAAGCTGCAGTTGGAGTTACTGGTCTTTTTTCCACATCCTTGCCGACTGATTTAGGAAATGAAAATTGTGCTAAAAAACGTTAAACCCTTTGTTCAGATGCACATAATATGTTGCTATTTCTGTCCACCTTCCAACAGCAAGGCAGCTGGCACTATACCTTTGCCCACACATGTTCCTGTTCGTCCGACTGTGCCAAAGGTTCTGCCGCCAGGACTACTTCCAAAGGTTGGACCAGTGCCAAAGGTTGTGCCACCACGTCTGCTTCAACCGACCCCTCCCGAGAAGCAAGAAGCTGCAGAGTCAGAGGCACCACTTCTTTGCCCGGCTGTTTCTGTCTTTGCTGTTGCTGTTGGGGGGGGGGGGGGGGGGGCGGGCTGTGTTTATTAGTGAACTGTTACTGACATTCCTTGCTGCACTTCTTTGACTTCTATCCCCCACCAGCATTCCTCTCCGAGTGTGCACTGCAGGCCACCCAGAGTCATGACGCGGCCGAGCTTCCTGCTGCAGTTCCCCAAGCTCAGTCCGATGCAGTCCCTGAGTCCGGAGAACTGACTCCCACAGAAAAGGCAATGAGCAGTGGATCAAGTGATGCGAAAAGGTCCAGATCAAATAGGCGGACAAGATCAAGATCTCACAGGTCGAGATCGAAGAGGTCGGCGTCGAAGAGATCGAAGAGTACCTCTCAGAGATTGTCAAGGACCTCAAAGAGATCAAAGAGATCGACGAGATCAAAAGGACCAGCACGGTCAAGGTCATCCAGGATCAGGACGGGGAAGCGCGATTCGTCACCGTCAACAAGTGAACCGGATCACAATTACATTATTGCAAAATTGACTCTGGCAGCTGCTGCAAGTGCACGTGCTCAGGAATACAGCCAAAGGTACACTCATCATGCAGCGAAATCCAGTGAATATGCCCTTAGGATGACAGGCCAGCAGGAGATTGCACATGTTGCCATTTCGAAAGTAAAGAAGGTGATATGGAATCAACGACCCCGTGGCAGTCAAAGACAGGCGGGCTCAGACGACTGAGTCCTGATTCCAGAGTCCCAGACACGTGGGCTCACTTTTCCTTGACTTTACTTTGACCTGACTGCTCGTGGAAAAACTGTGTTTCTTCCACAAGCTCAGCAGCTCCTGAACCATGTGCACACTTGAATCCCAGAAGCATCGGACCTGCCTTGAAACCTGACAGGCCATGAGGAGTCTCTTGACACGAGCAGGCTGGATCATTGTGTGCATGTCACACTTGCCGTTCGAGGTCTTCCAGCTTGACGGTTTTGCCTGGGTCGGGTTTTCTTTTCTGACCTGAAGATTTCCTAGGGTGCTGTTGGTAGTAGGCGGAGAGTTTTTTGTCGTGCAGTGGCAGACTGGTAGTAAGAGTAGGCTGTCATGTTTTGTCAAGCAAGTGTGTTGCCAGTACTGTTAGGGCATGTCTCCTAATGTCCTGGATCCAAGGTTAGATATTGGCAAAAGCAGAACAATGGGTGCATGCATGGTTTCTGACATTGCAGAGCCGTCCATGTCAGGAGCAGAACAGAACATAAATGTGGTTGTGACATGTGACATGTAAATCCACTGGCTCCCCCCAAAGTCGCCCCGAAAGTGCATGAGAGTGGTGAACAGAACTGTCAACTGGATGAATTTCTAACTCTGATTCAGGCTCTTGGGCACAAGTCTGTTGCTGGACTTTGACAAGCACTCACTTGTCAGAGTCCAGAGTTCCGAGTGCCAGAAGGCATGGACCTCAGAGCATGTCACTTTGCAAGTAACTTCGTAACTTTGTAATCTTTTCAACACTGACGCAGAGTCTCCGAACAGAAGGCACTGCATTTCTCTGCACTCCTGGGGTCTGTGCACTGGACTGTTCTCTGGACTCTGTGATTCTGGTCAGAGTTCTGAGTTACATGTCGCAACTCTGGTGTCACCATATGTCTGCCTGCTGTGACAAGGTGACAGCTGCATCCTTGCCGATGGTGTTCTTCTTCAAGGCTGGCACCCTCCAAGCTTTAAGAGCAATCACTGCGAAAAACCTGGTGATCCATGCAAAGTGGACCAAGTGCCTTGATGTTTTTTCTTGTGAGGCTCCTTAATTAAGCTTGCTGTGGTGCACTGATGCAAATTCAACTACTGCTGTAGCAAATGACAGTCGGGGTGCTTCCATGTCGTGCTGCAGCAAATGGTAGTCAGGCTGCTTCTTTGTGGGCCCTCACTTAGGCAAATGAGTGTCTGGGTAATCTTGCACTGCTAGAGCAGAGGGTCAGTGTGCTTCTTGCTTGTCGTGCCAAAGCAATTTTTTAATGACTGTAATATCTAATGTAGTATTTAAGCAAGTTGTGTCTCGGGTTTCTTCTTGTGCTGGTCCATTTGACAATCGATGTGTCCCAATGCTTCTTCTGGAGTGTCAGGTAGTTTCTCGTCCTTCTGCTGTTTCAGCAACCCGATGAGTTTTCGGGGTGTTTCTTCTGTTCATTGGCTCTGACTCAATGGAGCGGTGCTCCTTCTGGCCCTTCAGCACATGTGTCGACATGATTCTTGTGGCACATGAAACTATCATTCATGTGTGCCCGGGCACTTCTTCTGGTGCTTAGGCAAACGATGCCGGGGAGCCAGCTGTAGTGAATGTTGGGTCACTGCTACTTCTGGCGTTTTAGCACAGAGTCGGTTCCGAGGCCACTTCTTGCACTGAGTGCTTCCGGTGGTACAACTGAGTACATGGACTGTCAGGGTGCTTCTTCTGGTCTGGTGTTTAAGCAAGAGTAGTGTCGGGCTGTTTCTTCTGGCGCTGAAGCACTGGAGTGTCAGGCCCTTTTTGTGTCAGTAAGGGCAGATGGGACTAGGTTGCTTCTTCTGCTGTTTCAGCAAATCTGGGTGCTTCTTCTGGTTGCGAGTGTAACCGTAGGTTTTTGTCGGGCACTTAAGCTACATTCCGTGTCGGGGTGTTTCAACTGCTGCCTAAGCAGGATGACAGGTTGTTTCTCTGGCGCTTAAGCAAAAAGACTGTGGGGGTGTTTCTTGTGTGCTGTTCAAGCAATATGTGTGCCCAGGACATCATCTGGTGCTTAAGTAACATTAGTGTCAGACTCGGACAGAGCGCTGCTGCTTGAGTACCATGTCAAAGTTCCTGAAGCCGGGCCGTTGTTTTGTCTTGTGTCAGGTAGTGCGAGTCCGAGTGCTTCTCCTAGTGCTTAAGCAATGATGAGGGTCGGGCAGGGTGCTTCTTCTGTGTGTTTCTCATTGTTGTCAAGCCATGGAGAATCACAGTGCTTCATCTACTAGGTGCCTGAATTGAGTCAGACAATTTGAGGGGTCTTAAGGGCACTCACTGTCATTGCAAGTCACTTACCCCACATCAGTGAGGCTGAGGCTCACTTGAAGTCACTCTGTCTGTGCCCCTCCATCCCAGTGACAGGCCAGCATGAGCCACCTTAAGCCACCTCAACACCTGTCACCTGTGAGTCTGTCATGTGCCTTCCCCATGTCTGTGAGTTGAGTTATCAGAGTAGCTAGAGGCCGGAAGGAAAACCGAAAGCTTAAATTTAGAAAAAAAATTCGGTCCGAAGCCCCCCCGGTTTTAAAAAGTTAGTGGCTCCCCGAATCTTAGTGCCAAGAGTTGGGCTTCGCCGGCGGACCCCCGAGACTTGGCACTAGCCAGGGTGGCCAGTGCCTTTTGTCACATCTTCCAAGTATGAAGCTGCCAAGTCTCAGGCCTCGGCCGACGGGGCCTGAGACTTGGCAGCTTCATACTTGGAAGATGTGACAAAAGGCACTGGCCACCCTGGCTAGTGCCAAGTCTCGGGGGTCCGCCGGCGAAGCCCAACTCTTGGCACTAAGATTCGGGGAGCCACTAACTTTTTAAAACCGGGGGGGCTCCGGACAGAATTTTTTTTTCAATTTAAGCTTTCGGTTTTCCTTCCGGCCTCTAGCTACTCCGGGGGCTCCGGACGGAAAGGTTTTAAGTTTTAAGTTTTCCTGTTTTGGGTTCTTTACCTTCAAGACTGTAGGCAGCTCCAGACCACTAGCTTCAAGCCCAGTAGCTTTCAGCCTGTGGCCCTCTGAAGCCACAGTGGTGTGAGGCCTTCTAATCTGGACTCTGGCCCTTGTACTCTGTACTCTGCGGGGGCTGACTTGAGCATTCAGGGTTTTTTTCTAAGCATTTTTTGGGTCGAAGTTTGAGTCAGACCCATTCAATTGCACAGGAACTGAGACGATCAGGGTGATTGCTACGATTGGCCTCTGCCTCAGCTAAGAAGCCTGATCGAGTTTTGGCAAGTTATCGTTGCAGTCTTCAGATTCACCAAACCATGCACTTGCATGCTGCAGTTCTTTGTGACTCGAGTCCTGAAGTCCCGAGTCCCAGAGTGCCTACCTACCCATGCTCTCGAAGGAAGCGAAACAGAGCATTGCCAAGCTACAGTCTTGGCTAGAGGATACATTTGGTGGCTCCGGTGACCCAGAGCAACCTGATGCCGTGGAGATCTGTGCTATCCTCAGTAATTCATCATCTAGTCCATTGTGTGCCCTTCTTGTGTCCCTCTTGACCCTGCCCCCGTGGCCTTTTATACTTCTGAGACTCGAAGAAGCAACGAGGTGACTACTTGCAAGAACATTTTGGCACCGATCCGACTGCCTTGAAGAATGTCTTCCTGACAGTTCAGAGGCGACTACACACTATCGACCCATCCTGGATCTTCAAAGCACGACAGGCTGAAGACCGGGTGCCGATGGTAGAAGCAGATGTGACACAGGAGCTTGTCCTCATGCCTTGGCATTTGAGCTTCCTTCCACAACACTCACAGAAAGGCAAGAGCAAGATGGTGAATGTCCTTCGTTGTGCCACAGATTTCTTGGAGAAATCGTACGACAGTATGAACAACCCCATCCAGCTTTGGATCCCACCTACTATGCCCGCAGCAGGTGAGCTCTTGCCAGACTTCAGCCTAGGTCATTGCATTGGCTTCACAAAGAGTCTGGCGATGAAAGCTATTTTGCTGGCATGTTCTGAAGCTGCCTTGACTGATACAGAACTTCAGTCGATTCAGACACAATTGCAGGCGTTGTTCGGCTTCAGGGCGACAGTGCACACGACAGGGAATGCCAAGTTCGATAGATTCCGCGCGCTCCAGGACAAATTTGCTGAAGCTGCAAGGCCAAGGCCAGATCCCATTCAAGTATCCACATTGCTCATGGCACAAGCAAAGGATGAGGGTCTTGTGTGGACCGAGTGTGCTTCTGCAATGATTCAAGAGTTCAATGGAGGGTCATCGAACGAAGCAAAGAGGCTTTCCGAAATGGAAGCCAGTTTGGTGACAATCTATCCCACCTTGAGCAAAGACACACAAGAACTCATCGATTACCACTGGCAGCTGTACCCGCCACAGAGATCTGCCATTCCCTACAAGGCCGTAGCCGTCGATGTTTTCTTCGCAGGCCGGTATTTTGATTGTGTCATTCTTCAGAACACATTTTGTTAAGATTCATGTCTTTTCAGCAGAAATCAAGTTATGCTTTCTCAGGTGCAAAGTTGAAGACTGGAGTGAAGTCGGATCTCTGGCAAAGCATCCTGCAGGCCGACAATCGCAAGAGGCATTGGTACATCCGCAGGAAAGTGCAGATGTTTCTCTTCAAGCTACAAGATGCAAGACGACTGAGAAAGAAGATCAACTTGACCACTGGTGCCTCTGCTTTGCGTGACCAGAAGGATCCGGAGTCAGCCTGGGGAATTTCCGCGATTTTTGCACACTTCTTGCCCGAAATGCAGAAGCTGGTCACCCCGACGCAGCTGGAAACATTGCAGGTCAAGTTTGCTCGGGGCTACCTCGATGCGGAGCTTCTGGAGAAGTTCCGAGTCATGACCCCCAAATTGCAAGTGCAAAACTTCCGCTTTTTGGCAGATGTTGGTGTCAAGGCAGGACACGACCATCATGTTGTAGGAGAGACCCAATGCTAGAACCATGGAGTGACTGGGACAGCTGCCTAATCTTTGCTCAGGTGCTGGCCTCAGTCTCGCAGTCCCAGAATTCCGAGTCCGAGGCTGACCTGCAGTTGCAGAAGGCAGAGTTCGCAAAGGCAACTGCGAAAGTGAAAAAGGAGGTCATGCAGTGGAACTCTTACCAGGAGAAAAAAGATGAGTTTCAACGAACTGGAGTGACAATTCAGGCGGAGATCGCTGACAAGGAGAAAGACAGACAGCGAAAGGCCGTGGAGAATTGCCAGGACGAGCTCTATCCCATTCGGGAAGTTCTGGAGCTTCCACATGGAATGACTTTTGCTGAGGCGTCCCTGCAAAAGTTCAAGGATGAGCACAGAATCCCGGATGACAGCATGTACCGTGTCTTTTGGATGAACCCCACTGTGCTCGGGTACGACGCAGTTCGAGGTTGTGAGATTGCTGTCGCATCAGTGGCAACAGCTGTGGCAGAGGACCCCCACAAAAGCATTATCATTGTGGCTGCTCCGACGTGTGGGGGTTGGGGGAATGAGCTTCGGCGTGCAATCATAATCCACAAATTGCCTTGTTTTACATTCTTTCTGGTAGACTTTATGCATCTCAGGAGTACACAGAGTCCAGTGTTCTCGAAGCCACAGAGAAGATCAAAGCATTTCTCAATGTACCAGAGCATCGACTCATTGTCCGAGAGTGTCTTCTGGCATTTGATCAAAATTCCATTCCTCCACAATCTCAGCGGCCTGGCTTCCACAAGTTCTTCGTGGCAATCTCAGATTTGTCCAACAAAGAAGGGCAACTTTTCAGCCACTTTGCACAGAGCAGTTTGTGGAAAAGGCAGATGCTGCCAATAGTTATCAAGAACACGGTGACCCCAGTGCCCATGTTGGCCATCAAGTCCATGGTTGACCCTCGTCGGGGATTCTCCTCATCAATGGCAACATCAGACACATCCAACAAGCCTGCTCGGAGAAAGCAGTGGATTGCTGGCTACCCAGTGCCCGCAGCCTTCCATGATGCATTGTGGCAAGGCATGAGGGCCCCAGACAATGCAGGTGCCGCTTG